TAGCGCAGCGTAGCGCTCACCGCTGCACCGCCGAACTTAACGCACACACACACATCGAGCGACTAACTCGGAGACGATCCGACTTGGAGGCACTTGTTTATTCAGCGAGCACCATCGGCATTAACACACTTCACATTTGGTCCGCGATATTGTCAGAACAGTTGGTGGGCTGCCTGACTAGCGGCGCCCCGAGAATGGTGGAAGACGGAGATGACGACGAGACGAATGGCAACGGTGGACTTGAGCAGTACCTCGGGGATCATCCCACCTCCAGCCCCCGCTGGGAGTCTAAGACAGGGGGCTGTCTTAGACTCCCAGCGCTGCCTCGCTCAGCCCTCGCCACGCCGCCGCCTCTCTGGAGGCTTCCCGATGGGCCTCCTCTGTGACCTTTCCCCTCGATGTCCGCCCCTCTCGTGTCTCTCATGGCCGACTGACGACAGTACTGACAGTACACCGCAGGTCCTCTTTTAGTGCCGTCATCTAGCGCTATGCCACTGCACCCACAACACCAACACGTGCAAACAAATCCATCAGAGGACTTCCCCCGCGAGGACGAATGCGAGATGTTCGCCTCTGCGCCACGGACCCGCGCGCACAATGAGATGAAGACGAAGATCAGCCCACGTGGAGCATCGACGGACTGTCGGGGCAAGTGCTGTTAGCGAGGAGCAACCTGTGAAGGCCGGCACGGTGGTACACGGTGGCTAGGAGATGTTAACTCCCTCGCCTGGCGTGCAGGAAGTCGGGGGTTCCATCGCGACCCTGACGCCTGCTGCTGTATATTTGGAGTTTGCGTCTCTCTCTCATCATCATCACGGTGGCTAGGAGATGTTAACTACCGCACCTGGCATGCAGGAAGTCGGGGGTTCCATCGCGAACCTGACGCCTGCTGCTGTATATTTGGAGTTTGCGTCTCGCTCTCTCCCCTTGGTCGCGGGGTTGGACGGGACGTACAACCTCCAGCGGATTTATATTCAACAAAAGGTCGCCCAAGTGAGGAGTGGAACGCGTGAGACTGCCACCAATGTTGCCCTCCAACAAACATCTGTCGCGCGTGTAAGACAATCAATCAACCAATCAATGGGTTTCAACCCACCCACCCCCCCCCCCGTCCCCTGGCTAATACAACCTATTCTGATGTTTTCCTACTTCTGATATTAGCAAATAAAACACGAAAGAAACCCCCCCAAAAAAGGGGGGGGGGTGCCCACGACATCTGTCGCGCGCCCTTCCGTTTGCGGCGACCGCTGCCTCCGCCGCCGCGTCTGCGACAGTTCGGGTCCCATGCCCGGCCCAGCTAGCCCCCCGACCCCCCCGCCCCCTCCCCCGCCCCTCTGTTCCAAACTCTTATTCCTCTTTTTTGCAAGTTGGGAGGGGGGCGAGTCGCTGTCGCGTCTACCATAAATAGCGTGGGGAGGTGGCCGTGGGGGCAGATCGGGCTCCGGGTAACGGGACCCAGGGACCGTGGAGCCACTGCCCTGCGATGGACGGGGATCAGGGAACAAGCAGCGATACGGTGAGGGCTCAGCCCCCCCCCCCTCCCCCCCCCCCGATGTAGGCTGGGCCCAACTGCAGGCGCTTCGTCGGCTCCAGACGTATGGGGGGGGGGGGGCAGATGCGGTGGTCAACACTCGTGCCGCATGGCACCATGGAGTTTGTGTGTTCTAAGCCCTGTTCTGTAGGGTGTGAGAGTGAGTGGAGTTTGTGTGTTCTAAGCCCTGTGCTGTAGGGTGTGAGAGTGAGTGGAGTTTGTGTGTTCTAACCCATGTTCTGTAGGGTGTGAGTGGAGGTTGTGTGTTCTAGATCCTGTTCTGTAGGGTGTGAGAGTGAGTGGAGGTTGTGTGTTCTAAGCCCTGTTCTGTAGGGTGTGAGAGTGAGTGGAGTTTGTGTGTTCTAAGCCCTGTGCTGTAGGGTGTGAGAGTTAGTGGAGTTTGTGTGTTCTAACCCATGTTCTGTAGGGTGTGAGAGTGAGTGGAGTTTGTGTGTTCTAACCCATGTTCTGTAGGGTGTGAGAGTGAGTGGAGGTTGTGTGTTCTAGATCCTGTTCTGTAGGGTGTGAGAGTGAGTGGAGGTTGTGTGTTCTAAGCCCTGTTCTGTAGGGTGTGAGAGTGAGTGGAGTTTGTGTGTTCTAACCCATGTTCTGTAGGGTGTGAGAGTGAGTGGAGGTTGTGTGTTCTAGATCCTGTTCTGTAGGGTGTGAGAGTGAGTGGAATTTGTGTGTTCTAACACCTGTTCTGTAGGGTGTGAGAGTGAGTGGAGTTTGTGTGTTCTAACACCTGTTCTGTAGGTTGTGAGAGTGAGTGGAGTTTGTGTGTTCTAAGCCCTGTTCTGTAGGGTGTGAGAGTGAGTGGAGTTTGTGTGTTCTAAGCCCTGTTCTGTGGGGTGTGAGAGTGAGTGGAGTTTGTGTGTTCTAACACCTGTTCTGTAGGTTGTGAGAGTGAGTGGAGTTTGTGTGTTCTAAGCCCTGTTCTGTAGGGTGTGAGAGTGAGTGGAGTTTGTGTGTTCTAAGCCCTGTTCTGTAGGGTGTGAGAGTGAGTGGAGTTTGTGTGTTCTAAGCCCTGTTCTGTGGGGTGTGAGAGTGAGTGGAGTTTGTGTGTTCTAAGCCCTGTTCTGTAGGGTGTGAGAGTGAGTGGAGTTTGTGTGTTCTAACCCATGTTCTGTAGGGTGTGAGAGTGAGTGGAGGTTGTGTGTTCTAGATCCTGTTCTGTAGGGTGTGAGAGTGAGTGGAGGTTGTGTGTTCTAAGCCCTGTTCTGTAGGGTGTGAGAGTGAGTGGAGTTTGTGTGTTCTAAGCCCTGTTCTGTGGGGTGTGAGAGTGAGTGTAGTTTGTGTGTTCTAAGCCCTGTTCTGTAGGGTGTGAGAGTGAGTGGAGTTTGTGTGTTCTAACCCATGTTCTGTAGGGTGTGAGAGTGAGTGGAGGTTGTGTGTTCTAGATCCTGTTCTGTAGGGTGTGAGAGTGAGTGGAGTTTGTGTGTTCTAAGCCCTGTTCTGTAGGGTGTGAGAGTGAGTGGAGTTTGTGTGTTCTAAGCCCTGTTCTGTAGGGTGTGAGAGTGAGTGGAGTTCGTGTGTTCTGACCCCTGTTCTGTAGGGTGTGAGATTGAGTGGAATTTGTGTGTTCTAACACCTGCTCTGTAGGGTGTGAGAGTGAGTGGAGTTTGTGTGTTCTAACCCCTGTTCTGTAGGGTGTGAGATTGAGTGGCGTTTGTGTGTTCTAACCCCTGTTCTGTAGGGTGAGAGAGTGAGTGGAGTTTGTGTGTTCTAGATCCTGTTCTGTAGGGTGTGAGAGTGAGTGGAGTTTGTGTGTTCTAAGCCCTGTTCTGTAGGGTGTGAGAGTGAGTGGAGTTTGTGTGTTCTAACCCATGTTCTGTAGGGTGTGAGAGTGAGTGGAGGTTGTGTGTTCTAGATCCTGTTCTGTAGGGTGTGAGAGTGAGTGGAGGTTGTGTGTTCTAAGCCCTGTTCTGTAGGGTGTGAGAGTGAGTGGAGTTTGTGTGTTCTAAGCCCTGTTCTGTGGGGTGTGAGAGTGAGTGGAGTTTGTGTGTTCTAAGCCCTGTTCTGTAGGGTGTGAGAGTGAGTGGAGTTTGTGTGTTCTAACCCATGTTCTGTAGGGTGTGAGAGTGAGTGGAGGTTGTGTGTTCTAGATCCTGTTCTGTAGGGTGTGAGAGTGAGTGGAGGTTGTGTGTTCTAAGCCCTGTTCTGTAGGGTGTGAGAGTGAGTGGAGTTTGTGTGTTCTAAGCCCTGTTCTGTGGGGTGTGAGAGTGAGTGGAGTTTGTGTGTTCTAAGCCCTGTTCTGTAGGGTGTGAGAGTGAGTGGAGTTTGTGTGTTCTAACCCATGTTTCTGTAGGGTGTGAGAGTGAGTGGAGGTTGTGTGTTCTAGATCCTGTTCTGTAGGGTGTGAGAGTGAGTGGAGTTTGTGTGTTCTAAGCCCTGTTCTGTAGGGTGTGAGAGTGAGTGGAGTTTGTGTGTTCTAAGCCCTGTTCTGTAGGGTGTGAGAGTGAGTGGAGTTCGTGTGTTCTGACCCCTGTTCTGTAGGGTGTGAGATTGAGTGGAATTTGTGTGTTCTAACACCTGCTCTGTAGGGTGTGAGAGTGAGTGGAGTTTATGTGTTCTAACCCCTGTTCTGTAGGGTGTGAGATTGAGTGGCGTTTGTGTGTTCTAACCCCTGTTCTGTAGGGTGTGAGAGTGAGTGGAGTTTGTGTGTTCTAACACCTGTTCTGTAGGGTGTGAGAGTGAGTGGAGTTTGTGTGTTCTAAGCCCTGTTCTGTAGGGTGTGAGAGTGAGTGGAGTTTGTGTGTTCTAACCCCTGTTCTGTAGGGTGTGAGAGTGAGTGGTGTTTGTGTGTTCTAACCCCTGTTCTGTAGGGTGTGAGAATGAGTGGAGTTTGTGTGTTCTAGTTCATGTTCTGTAGGGTGTGAGAGTGAGTGGGGTTTGTGTGTTCTAAGCCCTGTGCTGTAGGGTGTGAGAGTTAGTGGAGTTTGTGTGTTCTAAGCCCTGTTCTGTAGGGTGTGAGAGTGAGTGGAGTTTGTGTGTTCTAAGCCCTGTTCTGTAGGGTGTGAGAGTGAGTGGAGTTTGTGTGTTATAACACCTGCTCTGTAGTGTGTGAGAGTGAGTGGAGTTTGTGTGTTCTAACTCCTGTTCTGTAGGGTGTGAGAGTGAGTGGAGTTTGTGTGTTCTAACCCCTGTTCTGTAGGGTGTGAGAGTGAGTGGAGTTTGTGTGTTCTAAGCCCTGTTCTGTAGAGTGTGAGAGTGAGTGGAGTTTGTGTGTTCTTGTTCCTGTTCTGTAGGGTGTGAGAGTGAGTGGAGTTTGTGTGTTCTAAGCCCTGTTCTGTAGGGTGTGAGAGTGAGTGGAGTTTGTGTGTTCTAAGCCCTGTTCTGTAGGGTGTGAGAGTGAGTGGAGTTTGTGTGTTCTAAGCCCTGTTCTGTAGGGTGTGAGAGTGAGTGGAGTTTGTGTGTTCTAACCCCTGTTCTGTAGGGTGTGAGAGTGAGTGGAGTTTGTGTGTTCTAACCCCTGTTCTGTAGGGTGTGAGAATGAGTGGAGTTTGTGTGTTCTAGTTCATGTTCTGTAGGGTGTGAGAGTGAGTGGGGTTTGTGTGTTCTAAGCCCTGTGCTGTAGGGTGTGAGAGTGAGTGGAGTTTGTGTGTTCTAAGCCCTGTTCTGTAGGGTGTGAGAGTGAGTGGAGTTTGTGTGTTCTAAGCCCTGTTCTGTAGGGTGTGAGAGTGAGTGGAGTTTCTGTGTTCTTGTTCCTGTTCTGTAGGGTGTGAGAGTGAGTGGAGTTTGTGTGTTCTAAGCCCTGTTCTGTAAGGTGTGAGAGTGATTGGAGTTTGTGTGTTCTAACCCCTGTTCTGTAGGGTGTGAGAGTGAGTGGAGTTTGTGTGTTCTAAGCCCTGTTCTGTAGGGTGTGAGAGTGAGTGGAGTTTGTGTGTTCTAAGCCCTGTTCTGTAGGGTGTGAGAGTGAGTGGAGTTTGTGTGTTCTAACCCCTGTTCTGTAGGGTGTGAGAGTGAGTGGAGTTTCTGTGTTCTAAGCCCTGTGCTGTAGGGTGTGAGAGTGAGTGGAGTTTGTGTGTTCTAACCCTGTTCTGTAGGGTGTGAGAGTGAGTGGAGTTTGCGTGTTCTAACCCCTGTTCTGTAGGGTGTGAGAGTGAGTGGAGTTTGTGTGTTCTAAGCCCTGTTCTGTAGGGTGTGAGAGTGAGTGGAGTTTGTGTGTTCTAAGCCCTGTTCTGTAGGGTGTGAGAGTGAGTGGAGTTTGTGTGTTCTAACCCCTGTTCTGTAGGGTGTGAGAGTGAGTGGAGTTTGTGTGTTCTAAGCCCTGTGATGTAGGGTGTGAGAGTGAGTGGAGTTTGTGTGTTCTAACCCTGTTCTGTAGGGTGTGAGAGTGAGTGGAGTTTGTGTGTTCTAACCCCTGTTCTGTAGGGTGTGAGAATGAGTGGAGTTTGTGTGTTCTAACCCTGTTCTGTAGGGTGTGAGAGTGAGTGGAGTTTGTGTGTTCTAACCCCTGTTCTGTAGGGTGTGAGAGTGAGTGGAGTTTGTGTGTTCTAACCCCTGTTCTGTAGGGTGTGAGGGTGAGTGGAGTTTGTGTGTTCTAAGCCCTGTGCTGTAGGGTGTGAGAGTGAGTGGAGTTTGTGTGTTCTAACCCCTGTTCTGTAGGGTGTGAGAGTGAGTGGAGTTTGTGTGTTCTAACCCTGTTCTGTAGGGTGTGAGAGTGAGTGGAGTTTGTGTGTTCTAACCCCTGTTCTGTAGGGTGTGAGAGTGAGTGGAGTTTGTGTGTTCTAAGCCCTGTTCTGTAGGGTGTGAGAGTGAGTGGAGTTTGTGTGTTCTAAGCCCTGTTCTCTAGGGTGTGAGAGTGAGTGGAGTTTGTGTGTTCTAAGCCCTGTTCTGTAGGGTGTGAGAGTGCGTGGAGTTTGTGTGTTCTAAGCCCTGTTCTGTAGGGTGTGAGAGTGCGTGGAGTTTGTGTGTTCTAAGTCCTGTTCTGTAGGGTGTGAGAGTGAGTGGAGTTTGTGTGTTCTAAGCCCTGTTCTGTAGGGTGTGAGAGTGAGTGGAGTTTGTGTGTTCTAACCCCTGTTCTGTAGGGTGTGAGAGTGAGTGGAGTTTGTGTGTTCTAACCCCTGTTCTGTAGGGTGTGAGAGTGAGTGGAGTTTGTGTGTTCTAAGCCCTGTTCTGTAGGGTGTGAGAGTGAGTGGAGTTTGTGTGTTCTAAGCCCTGTGCTGTAGGGTGTGAGAGTGAGTGGAGTTTGTGTGTTCTAAGCCCTGTTCTGTAGGGTGTGAGAGTGAGTGGAGTTTGTGTGTTCTAAGCCCTGTTCTGTAGGGTGTGAGAGTGAGTGGAGTTTGTGTGTTATAACACCTGTTCTGTAGGGTGTGAGAGTGAGTGGAGTTTGTGTGTTCTAACACCTGTTCTGTAGGGTGTGAGAGTGAGTGGCGCTTGTGTGTTCTACCCCCTGCTCTGTAGGGTGTGAGAGTGAGTGGAGTTTGTGTGTTATAACACCTGTTCTGTAGGGTGTGAGAGTGAGTGGAGTTTGTGTGTTCTAGTGCCTGTTCTGTAGGGTATGAGAGTGAGTGGAGTTTGTGTGTTCTAGTTCCTGCTCTGTAGGGTGTGAGAGTGTGTGGAGTTTGTGTGTTCTAGTTCCTGTGCTGTAGGGTATGAGAGTGAGTGGAGTTTGTGTGTTCTAGTTCCTGTTCTGTAGGGTGTGAGAGTGAGTGGAGTTTGTGTGTTCTAGTGCCTGTTCTGTAGGGTGTGAGAGTGAGTGGAGTTTGTACTCACCCCCCTGTTCTGCAGTGTGGCAGTATGAGTGTATGGAGTGTGTATGTTCGTCCTGCCCACTTAAAAAATAATTCTCCCACCCGCTCATCCACTTACTCATCCACCCATAAATTAATTCACCCACCCGCTCATCTGTTCACTCAACCACCCATAAATTATTTCACCTCCCCGCTCACCTACCCACTTACAAATGTATCCATTCACTCACACACTCACTCATCCATTCACTCACACACTCACTCATCCATTCACTCACACACTCACTCATCCATTAATTCACTCACACACTCACTCATCCATTCACTCACACACTCACCCATTCACTCACTCATCCATTCACTCATTCGCACACTCACTCACACACTCACTCATCCATTCACTCACACACTCACCCATTCACTCACTCATCCATTCACTCATTCGCACACTCACTCATTCACTCACTCACTCACACACTCATCCATTCACTCACTCACTCATCCATTCACTCACTCACTCATCCATTCACTCACTCGTCAATTTGCCAAGCCGCTGAGTAGCTCACCCACCCACTCACTCACTCACCCAGTCGCTCAACCCAACCCACCACCACCACCATACCCACCATCATCATCACACCATCACTACCATCATCATTACCACCACCACAATCATCACCACCATCACTACCACCATCACCACCACCACAATCATCACCACCATCACCACCACCATCACCACCATCACCAACATCACCACCACCATCACCACGATCATCATCACCACCATCATCATCAACAACAACCGCCATTCGCCACCAAGTGGCAGTGACGTCACCACGACGCTTGTGCCAGGCCATGTGCACCTTGAGGCCACGTGAAGTGTCGAACGCCCGCTGGCAGGAGGTCACGGGGCAGACCGAGGTGCCACGGGTCGACTGACTGAGATGACTGAGATGACTGGCTGATGCACCACCTGTGCCCCCTACTGTGCCAACTTGCTGTGCTTTAGCCACCCGGCGCTCCGCTCGTTGTTGTGAGCGTCGCTCCTCCGCCCTCTGTTGTTGTTGGAGGGCAACTGCCTCCAACTGCCCAGTAGCGTCCTTCACGAGCCTCCTCCACAGAGGCCGATCTTGACACCGCTGGTACCAGTCATCGGCAAGTCCACTCAGCTCCACGTCCTCCTGTACCACGTCACTCCATCTCTTCTCTAGCCCGTGCCGCGCCCGTTTAGCCCCCTCAATCCGACCGAACAAAAGCTGTTTCGGCATGCGGTGGCTGGGCGTGCGGCCTACATGACCCAGCCATCGCAGCCTTGCCCGCCGGAGGAGCTCACCGATGGGACCTTGCCCAGATCTTTCAAGGATTTGTGAGCTCCTCACACAATCCAGTCTGGTTAAACCCAGGATGGATCGTAGGCAGGCCAGCCTAAATATTTCTAACCGGCGAAGATGCTCCATTAGGGGGGTCCACGTTTCGCAAGCGTAGAGAAGGGAGGGAATGACCGTGGCCGAGAAGACCTGAAGCTTAGTGCGGAGCGACAGACCAGGTAGCTTCCACACATCGTTACGCAACCGATGAAAAGATAATGCCGCTCGACTGATTCGGAGTGAGACCTCTGCTGTTAAACTGGAGCCGGTCATAAGCACACTGACCAGGTATGGGAAACTCTCCACTCTCTCCACAACTCCCCCATCACCGATTGGGAGTTGTGGGGGTGGAGTGTCCATCATTATCACCACCATCATCACCGCCACCCCCAGGCTTTACCGAATGTCTCACACTCCGTGCAACACAACACCACCATGACCACCACCATGACCACCACCATCACCACCACCATCACCACCACCATCACCACCATGACCACCACCATCACCACCACCAGGCTTTTACCGAATGTCTCACCCTCCGTGCAACACACCACCACCATGACCACCACCATTACCACCACCACCATGACCACCATCACCACCACCATCACCACCACCAGGCTTTTACCGAATGTCTCACCCTCCGTGCAACAACCCTGGCAGGAGTGCGCGTGGGACACGGACGATGGCGCCGCTCACCCCAACGAGACTCGCCTCGGGATCCTCCTGCGTTCGGAGAGTTCCGAGGGCCACTCCACCATCCGGCACCAGCTGCTCAGCGTGGTGGACAACGCTCCACACAGCCAGACGCACCTGCAGTGAGTGAGACTCGAACCACGCACAAAGAGAAAGACAAAGATCCCCCGTGTAGCCTCCGCAGGCTGTTGTTTGTCCCCGCCGCACCTCTGGTGAGCGCGGTTGGCCACGTGTGGTGTGAAAGAAGTTCAACATGCGTGCATAAACTCACACAGAGACCCATAGACTCACGCAGAGACCCATGGACTCACACAGAGACCCATAGATTCACACAGAGACCCATAGACTCACACAGAGACCCCGTAGACTCACACAGAGACCCATAGACTCACACAGAGACCCGTAGACTCACACAGAGACCCATAGACTCACACAGAGACCCATGGACTCACACAGAGACCCGTAGATTCACACAGAGACCCATAGACTCACACAGAGACCCATAGACTCACACAGAGACCCATATACTCACACAGAGACCCGTAGACTCACACAGAGACCCATAGACTCACACAGAGACCCATAGACTCACACAGAGACCCATAGACTCACACAGAGACCCATAGACTCACACAGAGACTCATAGACTCACACAGAGACCAGTAGACTCACACAGAGACCCATAGACTCACACAGAGAGCCATCGACTCACACAAAGACCCATAGATTCACACATATACCTATATACTCACACAGAGACCCATAGACTTACACAGAGACCCATAGACTCACACAGAGACCCATAGACTCACACAGAGACCCAACGACGCAAACAGAGTCCCATATACTCGCATAGAGCCCCATATATGCACACAGAGACCCATAGACTCACACAGAGACATATGGACTCACACAGAGACCTATAGACTCACACAGAGACCCATAGACTCACACAGAGACCCATAGACTCACACAGAGACCCATAGACTCACACAGAGACCCATAGACTCGCACAGAGATCCATAGACTCACACAGAGACCCATAGACTCGCACAGAGACCCATAGACTCACACAGAGACCCATAAACTCGCACAGAGACCCATATACTCACACAGAGACCCATAGACTCACACAGAGACCCATAGACTCACACAGAGACCAGTAGACTCACACAGAGACCCATAGACTCACACAGAGAGCCATCGACTCACACAGAGACCCATAGATTCACACATATACCTATATACTCACACAGAGACCCATAGACTTACACAGAGACCCATAGACTCACACAGAGACCCATAGACTCACACAGAGACCCAACGACGCAAACAGAGTCCCATATACTCGCATAGAGCCCCATATATGCACACAGAGACCCATAGACTCACACAGAGACATATGGACTCACACAGAGACCTATAGACTCACACAGAGACCCATAGACTCACACAGAGACCCATAGACTCACACAGAGACCCATAGACTCACACAGAGACCCATAGACTCGCACAGAGATCCATAGACTCACACAGAGACCCATAGACTCGCACAGAGACCCATAGACTCACACAGAGACCCATAAACTCGCACAGAGACCCATATACTCACACAGAGACCCATAGACTCACACAGAGACCCATAGACTCACACAGAGACCCATAGACTCGCACAGAGACCCATAGACTCACACAGAGACCCATAGACTCGCACAGAGACCCATAGACTCACACAGAGACCCATAGACTCACACAGAGACCCATAGACTCACACAGAGACCCATAGACTCACACAGAGACCGATAGACTCACACAGAGACCCATAGACTCGCACAGAGACCCATAGACTCACACAGAGACCCATAGACTCGCACAGAGACCCATAGACTCACACAGAGACCCATGGACTCACACAGAGACCCATAGACTCACACAGAGACCCATAGTTTGCTGTCCTTCCCCCGGCACCGATTAGCGCAGTTCGCTACGAAGGAGGTTCAACATACATACGGAGAAAATGTTGTTAGCGAGAGGCACCTATGAAGGCCGGCACGTTCCATGGTGACGAGATGTTAACTACCTCGCCTGGTAAACAGGTGGTCGTGGGTTCGATCCCGACCCTGACGCCTGCTGCTGTATATTTGGAGTTGATGGTGTCTCTCTTTCTCCCCGTGGTCGCGTGGATTTTCTCCGGATCCTCCGGTATTTCCCTTCAAATTTAGAAATCACGCGTTTAGGGTATTTGGGTGCTATCAGTTGCGGCAAGGTCGCTTCTGAAAAAAGGTTACACAGCTCAATGGGCAATACTTGGTTAAAATAAAGAAATATATTCTTTAATAGTTTTAGGGTGGCCAACACCACGCCCGGCCGCCTTTGTCTCCCCAGTGGCGATGTTAACACATCGCACCAGATACTCATTTGAGGCTGAGTCGACCTAGGGGAGGCCCAGGACCGGATCGGATAATCGTCACTGGTGTTGGCCGTGAGCGGGAATCGAACCCGGGTCGCCAGGTTCATAGCGCAGCGCGCTAACCGCTACACTACCGCTACACAGTGACAACAACAACCGCCATTCGCCACTAAGTGGCGGTGACGTCACCACGACGCTTGTGCCAGGCCATGTGCCCCTTTAAGCTACGTGAAGTGTCGAACATCCGCTGGTAGGAGGTCACGGGCAGACCCAGGTGCCACGGGTCGACTGACTAAGATGGCTGGCTGATGCACCACCTGTGCCCCCTACTGTGCCAATTTGCTGAGCTTTAGCCAACCGACGCTCCGCTCGTTGCTGTGAGCGTCGCTCCTCCGCCCTCCGTTGTTGTTGGAGGGCGACTGCCTCCAACTGCCCAGTAGCATCCTTCACGAGCATCCTCCACAGAGGCCGATCTTGACACCGCTGGTACCAGTCATCGGCAAGTCCACTCAGCTCCACGTCCTCCTGTACCACATCACTCCATCTCTTCTCTAGCCCGTCGCCACGCCCGTTTAGCCCCCTCGATCCGGCCGAACAAAAGCTGTTTCGGCATGCGGTGGCTGGGCATGCGGGCTACATGACCCAGCCATCGCAGCCTTGCCTGCCGGAGGAGCTCACCGATGGGGCCTTGCTCAGATCTTTCAAGGATTTGTGAGCTCCTCACACAATCCAGCCTGGTTAAACCCAGGATGGATCGTAGGCAGGCCAGCCTAAATGTTTCTAACCGGCGAAGATGCTCCATTAGGGGGGTCCACGTTTCGCAAGCGTAGAGAAGGGAGGGAATGACCGTGGCCGAGAAGACCTGAAGCTTAGTGCGGAGCGACAGACCAGGTAGCTTCCACACAGCGTTACGCAACCGATGAAAATATATTGCCGCTCGACTGATTCGGAGTGAGACCTCTGCTGTTAAACTGGAGCCGGTCATAAGCACCTGCCCAGGTATGGGAAACTCTCCACACATTAACACTGTGACACACACACAGTAACACACACAGTGACACACACACAGTGACACACAACAACCGCCATTCGCCACCAAGTGGCGGTGACGTCACCACGACGCTTGTGCCAAGCCATGTGCACCTTGTGTGTGTGTGTTACACACAGTAACACACACACACATAGTGACACACACACAGTGACACACACAGTGGCATACACAGTAACACACACACAATGACACACAGTGACACACACACACTAACACACACAGTAACACACACACAGTAACACAAAGATAAAGATCCCCCATATAGCCTTAACAGACTGTAGGGGCAAGTGCTGTTACCTATACAGTAACACACACAGTGACACACACACAGTGACAGACACAGTAACACACACAGTGACACACACAGTAACACACACACAGTGACACACGGTGACACACACACGGTGATATACACACAGTGACACACACAGTAACACACACACAGTAACACACACACAGTAACACACACACAGTGACACACAGTGACACACACACGGTGATATACACAGTGACACACACAGACAGTAACACACACAGTGACACACACACAGTAACACACACACAGTAACATACACACAGTGACACACACACACAGTAACACACACGCAGTAGCACACACACAGTGACACACAGTGACGCACACACGGTGATATACACACAGTGACACGCACACACAGTAACACACACACAGTGACACACACAGTGACACACACACAGTGACAGACACAGTAACACACACACAGTGACACACACACAGTAACACACACACAGTGACACACAGTGACACACACACGGTGATATACACACAGTGACACGCACACACAGTAACACACACACAGTGACACACACACACAGTAACACACACACAGTGACACACAGTGACACACACACGGTGATATACACACAGTGACACGCACACACAGTAACACACACACAGTGACACACACACAGTAACACACACACAGTGACACACAGTGACACACACACGGTGATATACACACAGTAACACACACACAGTAACACACACACAGTGACACACACACAGTAACACACACACAGTGACACACAGTGACACACACACGGTGATATACACACAGTGACACACACACACAGTAACACACACACAGTAACACACACACACAGTGACACACACCCGGGACACCGGGTCAAATACCAGAGTCGCACCGAGCAATAGGGTCTCGATTCCGATGTAAAGCAGGCAGGAGGTTTAGTGGCTGTTGACTAGCTGGTGGTAACGGCTCGGGTTCGTGGTAGGGCTAGTTACTAGTGGTAACTAGTTACTAGTGGTTACTAGTTACTAGCTACTCGTGGTTACTAGTAACTAGTTACTAGTGGTTACTAGTTACTAGTGGTTACTAGTTACTAGCTACTAGTGGTTACTAGTTACTAGTGGTTACTCGCTACTAGTGGTTAATAGCTTCTAGTGGTTACTAGTTACTAGTGTTTACTAGTTACTAGTGGTTACTCGCTACGAGTGGTTACTAGCTACTAGTGGTTACTAGTTACTAGTGGTTACTAGTTACTAGTGGTTACTAGTTACTAGTAGTTACTAGTGGTTACTAGCTACTAGTTGTTATTAGTTACTAGTGGTTACTAGTTACTAGTGGTTACTATTTACTAGTTACTAGTGGTTACTAGTTACTAGTGGTTACTAGTTACTAGTGGTTACTAGTTACTAGCTACTAGTGGTTACTAGTTACTAGTGGTTACTAGCTACTAGTTACTAGTGGCTAGTAGTTACTAGTTGTTACTAGCTACAAGTGGTTACTAGTTACTAGTGGTTACTAGCTACTAGTTACTAGTGGTTACTAGTTACTAGTTGTTACTAGTTACTAGCGGTTACTAGTTACTAGCTACTAGTGGTCACTAGTTACTAGTGGTTTATAGTTACTAGTTACTAGTAGTTACTAATTACTAGTGGTTACTAGCTACTAGTTACTAGTAGTTACAAGTTACTAGTGGTTTCTAGTTAGTAGTTACTAGTGGTTACTAGTTACTAGTTGTTACTAGTTACTAGTTACTAGTGGTTACTAGTTACTAGTGGTTACTAGTTACTAGTGGTTACTATCTACTAGTTGTTACTAGTTACTAGTTGTTACTAGTTATTAGTGGGTACTAGCTACTAGTGGTTACTAGTTACTAGTAGTTACTAAATACTAGTGGTTACTAGCTACTAGTTACTAGTAGTTACTAGTGGTTACTAGTTACTAGTGGTTACTAGTTACTAGTAACTAGTGGTTACTAGTAACTAGTGGTTACTAGTTACTTGTTACTAGTTACTAGTTGTTACTAGTTACTAGTGGTTACTAGTTACTAGTGGTGGGTTGGTTAGCGAGTCGGCTCGTAGTGCTCGTGTCTGTCTGGCGACTTCCGGGGCCAGTAAACTAAAATAAACGAGGATAGCACCACACGTTCTCTTTTTACAAATTCCGCATCAACAACAACAATAACAACAACAACAAAAGAACCCCCAACTCGATATTTCTGGAGCAGCAGTGCCACTGTGCGGTGAATCCGAGTCGTCGGTGGTCCTGAATCGGTGACTGTCACGAACCGTCAGCTCCTTCCAAGAGATCGACCCGCGGCTCCCAAGTCGCCGTGGGCCGCTGAGCCCTCCCTGGGGGTTGTGAGTCAGGGGTCAAGGCGCTGGATGGCTCCTCCCTCGCGACTCGCGGGGTTACCCGCGATGACGATTCGCACGCACCCACAGACTCAGAGAAAGAGAGAGAGAGAGAATTACAAATGTGTACGTAGAAAACAGGGGGGAGCGTTGACATAGAGTAAGGAGAGAGGGGGTCGAGAGAGAGAGGGGGGGAGGGGTAGATAGGGGGGGTAGAGAGAGTGGGGGGGTAGAGAGAGAGAGGGGGGGTAGAGAGAGAGGGGGTAGAGAGAGGGGGTAGAGAGAGGGGGGGTAGAGAGAGAGAGAGGGGGAGGGGTAGATAGGGGGGGGTAGAGAGAGTGGGGGTAGAGAGAGAGAGGGGGGGGGGGTAGAGAGAGGGGGGTAGAGAGAGGGGGGGGGGTAGAGAGAGGGGGGGTAGAGAGAGAGAGAGGGGTAGAGAGAGAGGTGGGTAGAGAGAGAGGGGGTAGAGAGAGGGGATAGAGAGAGGGGGTAGAGAGAGGGGGTAGAGAGAGAGGGGGGGGTAGAGAGAGGGGGGGGGGGTAGAGAGAGAGGGGGGTAGAGAGAGAGGGGGTAGAGAGAGAGGGTAGAGAGAGGGGGTAGAGAGAGGGGGTAGAGAGAGAGGGGGTAGAGAGAGAGGGGGTAGAGAGAGAGGGGGTAGAGAGAGAGGGGAGGGGTAAGAAAGAGGAGAGCAGAGCGGTGACATCTTTCATTTAAAAAGGGGGTGGGGGTTACATAAAGCACAGCATTACAAAACACGGTGAACGAAGCAAAGTGCCGACGACACCGAGCATCTTCTTGTTTCCTCTGATCGTAAAAACACGAGAGGAGAGAGAAGGCGAGACGCTGATGTCGCCCGCGGCCCCCTGCGCCCCACAGGGACGGGGACCTGGTGCTGATGATCGGCCAGGCGGACACGAGCTTCATGAGCCACGAGAAACTCAGCGCCAAGATGCAGCGACGCGTCAAGCAGAGTTTGGTGGGGAGCTCCCTCCACCTCTTACTGCCTACTTCACTCCCTCGTCGTTCACTTCCTCCACCTCCTTCATTCACTCCCTCCACCTCTACCTCCCTCTCTCGACTCACTGTCCCTCTGCATCACTCTCTCCTTCCAACTCTCACACAGCCACTCGCCCAACCACTCACCCACCCACTCACCCACTCACACATCCGCTCACCCATCCACTCACCCACCCACCTACTCACCCACTCACCCACTCACCCATCCACTCACCCACTCACCCATCCACTCACCCACTCACCCACTCACTCACCCACGCACTCACCCACTCACCCACCCATCCACTCGCCCACTCACCCACTCACCCACCCACTCACAGTACCCACTCACCCACCCACTCACTCACCCACTCACCCATCCACTCACCCATTCACCCATACACTCACCCACTCACCCACTCACTCACAGTACCCACTCACCAACCCACTCACCCACTCACCCACTAACCCACCCACTCACCCACCCACTCACCCATCCACTTACCTACTCACCCATCCACTCACCCACTCACCCGTCCACTCACCCACTCACCCACACACAGCACCCACTCACCCACTCACCCACTCACTCACAGTACCCACTCACCCACCCACTCACCCACTCACTCACAGTACCCACTCACCCACCCACTCACCCACTCACCCATCCACTCACCCACTCACCCACCCACTCACCCACCCACTCACCCACCCACTCACCAAACACCCATCCACTCACCCACTCACCCACCCACTCACCCACCCACTCACCCACTCACCCATCCACTCGCCCACTCACCCACCCACTCACCCAACCACCCACTCACTTACCCACGCACTCACCCACTCACCCACCCACTCACAGTACCCACTCACCCACCCACTCACTCACTCACTCACCCACTCACCCATCCATTCACCCACTCACCCACCCACTCACTCACAGTACCCACTCACCCACCCACTCACCCACTCACCCATCCACTCACCCACTCACCCACCCACTCACCCACCCACTCACCCATCCACTCACCCACTCACCCATCCACTCACCCACTGACCCACCCACTCACCCACCCACTCACCCATCCACTCGCCCACTCACCCATCCACTCACCAAGTCACCCACTCACCCACTCACTTACCCACGCACTCACCCACTCACCCACCCACTCACCCACTCACCCACCCACTCACAGTACCCACTCACCCACCCACTCACTCACTCACCCACTCACCCATCCACTCACCCATTCACCCATACACTCACCCACTCACTTACCCACGCACTCACCCACTCACCCACCCACTCACAGTACCCACTCACCCACCCACTCACTCACTCACTCACCCACTCACCCATCCATTCACCCACTCACCCACCCACTCACTCACAGTATCCACTCACCCACCCACCCACTCACCCACTCACCCATCCACTCACCCACTCACCCACTCACCCACCCACTCACCCACTCACCCATCCACTCACCCACTCACCCATCCACTCACCCACTCACCCACCCACTCACCCACCCAATCACCCACTCACCGATCCACTCGCCCACTCACCCATCCACTCACCCAGTCACCCACTCACCCACTCACTTACCCACGCACTCACCCACTCACCCACCCACCCACTCACCCACTCACCCACCCACTCACCCACCCACTCACCCACCCACCCACTCACCCACTCACTAAGTCACCCACCCACCCACTCACCTACTCACCCACCTACTCACCCGCGCACTCACCCTCTCGCCCTGCAGCTGATCCACCGGCCTGGCAGACGCCACGATGGTAGAACACAGAACGTGGCCGACCCCAAGGTCCAGGAGTCGAACCCATACGACGGCAGCTCGCGCGAGGGCTCCCCCGCGACCCTGGAGCTGATTGGCCGTCACAACATTGCCATGCCCACCGACCTGACGCTCACCAACGACCAGGACGCGGGATGCTCCGACAACCCCGGGGTCGCGGCCAAGGAGACGCGGGACCCCGAGGAGGCGAGGCTCGTGGACCGGGAACGCTCCGAGCGCAGGGCCGTGTACCGCCGCCCGGGCGAGCAGGGGCCGCGCGGGGGAGGAGAAGACGTGAAACACGGGGGAGGAAGAGATGGGAGACGCGGGGGAGGAAGAGATGGGAGACACGGGGGTGGAGATGGGAGACGCGGGGGTGGAGATGGGAGACGCGGGCGAGACGGGGAGCAGGAGCCCAGGTGAGTCGAGCTGCAGCCCAGGTGTAGCTCGCATACCTTCAGAAAGAGTGCCGTTTGTTGCTGGCCCCTCGTGGGCGGCAGGGTGGTGGTGCAGCGGTCGCCTCGTTGGCAAGGTCTTTGTCTGCCGCTAACAATGTCCACGCTGATGATGAGCCATCATTTGTGGCCATGTCGCTGGTTATCCCTCAATCTGGGGTTCGATTAAACTGCACAATCAGCCCCTACCACCTCATCATCACCATCACCTCCTCATCTTCACCATCACCTCATCATCATCACCTCCTCCTCATTACCATCACCTCATCATCATCACCATCACCTCATCATCACCACCACCTCCTCATCACCATCACCACCTCATCATCACCATCACCTCCTCATCTTCACCATCACCTCATCACCATCACCTCCTCCTCATAACCATCACCTCCTCATCATCACCATCATCTCATCATCACCACCACCTAATCATCACCACCACCTCATCATCACCATCACCTCCTCCTCATCTCATCACCATCACCTCATCATCACCATCACCACCTCATCATCACCATCACCTCATCATCACCATCACCTCCTCCTCATCACCATCACCACCGCATCATCACCATCACCTCCTCCTCATCACCATCACCACCTCATCATCACCATCACCACCTCATCATCACCATCACCACCTCATCATCACCATCACCTGCTCCTCATCACCATCACCACCTCATCATCACCATCACCACCTCATCATCACCATCACCACCTCATCATCACCATCACCTCCTCATCATCACCATCACCACCTCATCATCACCATCACCACCTCATCATCAGGCCACTGGTGCTGTGCACTTTCACGTGTAGATTGAAAACTATTTATTTCCAAACTGCGTCTTTGTGTTGAGTGTTGCTGTCCTTCCCCCGCACCTCCGATTAGCACGGTTGGCCACGTACGGTGCGAAAGAAGTTCAGCACACACAGTACACACACACATACCTCTCGATCCTCACGATGGAGCTCAAAAACTCACTCTGAACTCGACTATTCAACCGACCGATCATCCCTAGCCGGTGTCGTTCATTTTCCTTTTGACTCCTCCCTATAATTAATTTTATTTCATTTCTTGTCCTTTTTTTCCTGGGGGTGGGGGGGGGTGGTGGTGGGTCCAGCAACGAGACGACGACGAAGGAGAAAGAGGAGAAAGAGGAGGAGGAGGAGGAAGGGGGGGCCGAGGAGCCCGCGCCGACACCGACGGCCTTCGAGCGATGCGCCGAGAGCGTGGAGGGGGAGAGCGTCTCACTCGTCCTCTTCAATTGCCCCACGCTCACCTCGCGGCGTCTACCTGGCGCGGCGGAGGGTGGACACGGCCACGGTGGTGGTGGTGGGGCGTGTGTCACCTGCGGCGCGCTCGGCCGCTGCGTGGAGCTCCTCGTCGACGTGGAGCAGAGCCGCCACGAGGAAGTGGTGCTCGAGAGTGAGTTGGCAGACAGTCCTCATCGTCATCATCGTCACCACCGTCATGATCATCGTCGTAGTCGTCATCGTCATCATCATCATCATCATCACCGTCATGATCATCGTCATCGTCGTCGCCGTCATCATCGTCATGATCATCGTCGTAGTCGTCATCGTCATCATAATCATCACCGTCATGATCATCGTCATCGTCGTCATCGTCATCATCGTCACCACCGTCATGATCATCGTCGTAGTCGTCATCGTCATCATCATCATCATCATCACTGTCATGATCATCGTCGTAGTCGTCATCATCGTCACCACCGTCATGATCATCGTCGTAGTCGTCATCATCATCATCACCGTCATGATCATCGTCATCGTAGTCGCCGTCATCATTGTCAGTCATCATCATCGTCACCGTCATAGTCATCATCATCGTCAGTCATCATCATCGTCACCGTCATAGTCATCATCATCATAGTCATCATCATCATCAGCATCGTCATCATCATCGTCAGTCATCGTCGTTATCGTCATCATCACCGTCAGTCATCGTCGTCATCATTGTCGTCGTCGTCATCATCAGCAGCAGCAGCAGCATCGTCGTCACTGTCACTGTCACCACAGCACCTCCGAAGAGCATCGTTTGGCTACGTTGGCTGCGAAAGAAGTTCACAAACGTACGACCAACAGCATCCCTTTTCAATAACGACCATCATTACATAATTCATCATCACCATCATCATTGTTTTCGTCATCAGCAGCAGTAACAGCATCATCAGCATCCGTAACAACATCATCAGCATCATGATCAGCATCAGCAGTAACTGCATAATCATGAGCAGCAGCAATAATATCATCATCATCGTCACCATCAGCATCATCAGCAGCAGCAGCAGCAGTAACATCGTCATCATGAGCAGCAGCAGTAACATCAGCATAATCGTCACCATCAGCATCATCATCATCAGCAGCAGCAGTAACAGCATCATTATCATCAGCAGCAGCAGTAACATCATCATCATGAGCAGCAGTATTAACATCATCATAATCGTCACCATCACCATCAGTAACAGCTGCAGCAGCAGCAGTAACAGCACCATTATCATCAGCAGCAGCAGTAACATCATCATCATGAGCAGCAGTATTAACATCATCATAATCGTCACCATCAGCAACAGCTGCAGCAGCAGTAACAGCATCATTATCATCATCAGCAGCAGTAACATCATCATCATGAGCAGCAGTATTAAGATCATCATAATCGTCACCATCAGCATCAGCAACAGCTGCAGCAGCAGCAGTAACAGCATCATTATCATCAGCAGCAGCAGTAACATCATCATCATGAGCAGCAGTATTAACATCATCATAATCGTCACCATCACCATCAGCAACAGCTGCAGCAGTAACAGCATCATTATCATCATCAGCAGCAGTAACATCATCATCATGAGCAGCAGTATTAACATCATCATAATCGTCACCATCAGCATCAGCAACAGCTGCAGCAGTAACAGCATCATTATCATCATCAGCAGCAGTAACATCATCATCATGGGCAGCAGTATTAACATCGTCATAGTCGTCACCATCAGCATCAGCTGCAGCAGTAACAGCATCATTATCATCATCAGCAGCAGTAACATCATCATCATGAGCAGCAGTATTAACATCGTCATAGTCGTCACCATCAGCATCAGCAACAGCTGCAGCAGTAGCAGCGGCACACTTACCGCGCCTATTGACAAACAGCTTCAGTTTTAGGCAAATAGTTTTATGAAGCTGATTGTTGTTATTTCTGTTGTGCTCGTTGTTGTCGTTGTTGTGGCTGTTGTTATTGTTGTTGTTGTAATCACTAACAACACGTCACAAGCGGTGTGCGCTGTGCTCGTAACAAATTGCCACGTGTTGTGTTACGTGACAAAACTCACTAAAATGATTGTGCCGGGTGGTGGCGGGTTTAACGGCACAGTTTTATTTACGCGATCTAACCATCCCAAAAAAACTCTCTATTATGGATGCATTGTACTGCATACGACACGTGCTTACTCAAACTCGCCACACAGGGTACTACTCATATTTAAGGCTGAGTCGACCTACGAGACACCCAGGGCAAGTTCAATTACCACCGACCATTGTTTTGTGTTATCCGTGACAAAGCACACTAATTGGCCGTGTCGGGTGGTGGTGGGTTAACGACACATTGACATGTTACGCCATCTAACCCAACACACAACACAACACAAACCTGAATTATTGTCATCGATTTATATTGGTCGCGAAAGCCGACGACTACGTGTTGTACAGCGCCGTACGAACTTTATATTTGCACAAACTTTATATTCGTACGAACTTCATATTTGTACGAACTTCATATTTCTAATAAACTTTATGTACTGACTTTTTATTTGTACAAAGTTCACATTTTTACGAACGTCATTGATTCTCATCCATGTTCCCCTCTTCATTGACCGATCCCCCCCCCCCCCCCCCCGTCTCACAGGGAAGTGCTGCGTGAACCACGCGACCCCTGACCTCAGCTACTTGGTGTTCAGCCTGGAGTTGGACGAGAGTGGCATCGTGCTGTGGACCATGATGGACATGTGCGTGGCGCCACGCAGTCGCCACGCTCAGCCCAAGGCAGAAGCCCGCCAATGGCGCACCCAGTCTGGTGTGTCACCTGTAGCTCTGTGTGTGTGTAGCTCTGTGTGTGTGTGGCTCTGTGTGTAGCTCTGTGTGTGACCTGTGGCTCTGTGTGTGACCTGTAGCTCTGTGTGTGTGTGGCTCTGTGTGTGTGGATCTGTGTGTGTGTCTCTGTGTGTGTCTCTGTGTGTGTGTGTCTCTGTGTGTGTGCCTCGTCCGGCAAAACAACCCCCTACCTCATCGCGGTGCCGGACGGGCAACTCTGTCGTGGACAGTGCTGTGGGGGGAGGTCCAATTTTGATTGGCTCCTCCCCTCATGGCATATGTGTCCACCACAGGGGCTAAACAGGGGCTCTAGACGGGTGCGAGGGGCTGCTAACCCCTCCACCCTCAATTAATTACCACTAAACCACGAGTTAAACTGAAATATGTAACTAATAAGCTTGTGCCGGAGGCCCCGGGGGGCCTGGCGTCTATGACGTCTCCTGGCCAAACCCCAATTGGCGGAGCCAGGAGATTGAATACCTACCCTCGGGGCTCCTCCAGAAACAACGAAAAGCCACTACGGGTGGCCACGTGGAATGTTCGAACGCTCACTGCGGAGGAGAGGCTGCCACTCCTCTGTCGGGAGCTGGACCGGTACCGCCTGGATCTATGTGGCATTCAGGAGGTCCGATGGACCTGCTCTGGCTCCTGCCACCATGAGGGGTGGACAGTCCTCTATTCGGGGCAGGAGACTGCCAAACAACAGGGAGTGGCTCTTCTTTTGAACAAAAGAATGAAGGGGGCGTGGGAGCGTGGCGGTGAGGTGTGGGAAGCTGTAAGCCCCAGGCTACTTTGGGCTCGCCTTCCCATCAACCGGAGGTGAGGAATGGTGGTCGTGGTTACTTATGCCCCCACCGAAGATGAACATCCGTGGAGGGATGCAGGCAAAGCCGATGAGTCAGATGCCTTCTATGACCTCCTGTCACAGGTGCTGGCTAAAGTGGCCCCTCGGGATAGAGTCATCATGCTGGGTGACTTCAATGCCCGAGTTGGTCATGATACTGGCACCTGGTCTGGAGTGATTGGAGGGCATGGGCCAGATCAGCTCAATAACAACGGTAGGAGGCTGCTAGATTTTTGTGCAGCCCATGGACTTGTAATTACCAACACGCTGTTCCGGCATCGGCGCATCCACACAACATCATGGATGCATGCCGGGTCCAAGCAAGAACATCTGCTGGACTACATAGTGACGGACCAGCGGATGCGAGCCCATGTCCTTGATACCAGGACCTACCGTGGAGCTGATCTGCCCTCTGACCATCGACTAGTCATCTGTAAGATGCGCCTGCCATTCTTCCACTCCGGTGGTGGGTGTACACCCAGGACCCCATTCCAACCTAAAGTGGCCTGGTCTCAGTTATCTGATGAAAGTTGCAAGCGAGAATTTCATCATCGCTTGCGGCTGGGATTGGCATCGTCCCCGACTCCTCCTGATGTCGAGGGTAAATGGGCGAGGTTTAGGACTGTGACTCATGCAGCTGCAATGGCTGCTGGGTACGCGGTCCAGACCTCCCCAGAGACCCTGGCTGACAGAGGAGGTGTTCAGGATGGTTGAGAAAAAGCGACAGGCCCACTGTCATCGGCTACAGAATCCCACGTCAGAGAATGAGGAGGCTTATCGCAGCCTTCGCTCGGAGGTTTGGAGAGCCATGAGGCGCTGCAAGGATGGGTGGTGGTCGCGGTTTGCTGAGGAGATGGAGTCTGCCTCAGTGGCCCGTGATCACAAATCTCTATTTAACTCCATCAAAAAAGTCACCTGCAGCGCCACACCTATTACCATCATTAGGGGAAAAAACGGTGATCCAATCTCCGACCCCCAGGAACAGGTTTGCAGATTTGCTGAGCATTTCTGTGAGGTCCTGGGGGAGGGAAAATCCCTCAGCCAGGAAAACAGCGTGGCACAAAGTGAGGATGACCCTGCTGAGGCTGCAGTGCCTCAAATATTGGAAGAAGTCACCCCTGTGAGTGGCTGGCTGAGGTGCCATCTGTTGAGGAAGTACTGATGGCAATCCGGAGTCTGAGACCAGGAAAGGCAGCGGGCAGAGATGATCTCCCAAGCGAAATGCTGAGGGAGGGTGGCGTTTATGCACAGACTGCCCTATATGACATCATAACAACGGTCTGGACCACTGGACGGGTTCCGCAGGATTGGAAGGATGCCCTGGTGGTCCCCCTTTTTAAGAAGGGGGACCACACAGACTGTAACAACTACAGGGGCATCTCACTCCTCAGTGTGCCGGGAAAGGTCCTGGCAAGGATTATTCAGCATCGCCTTGCCAGGCACGCTGAGGAGAGGCTTGCAGAGCCCCAATGCGGTTTCAGGAAAGGACGGTCCTGCACAGATGCCATATTTTCTGTCCGTCTGCTACAGCAGAGGTGTAGGGAATTCCAACAAGACCTACATCTCTGCTTTATTGACCTGGTCAAGGCCTATGATACCATCAGTAGGCCTGAGCTCTGGGTTGTTCTTCGTGCTTTTGGAGTACCTGACCCTCTGCTCACGATCATTAAGGACCTTCATGATGGTGAGCGTGCCCGGGTAAAACTACGTGGCCGGGAGTCAGAGCCATTTCCTGTACACCTTGGGGTGCGACAGGGATGTCCTCTGGCTCCCACATTGTTTAACATCTATTTTGACCACGTAGTTCGTGAAGCCTTCAATAGCTGTACCGGGGGAATCTCCATATGGTACAGATATAATGGGAGGCTGATCGATGCTCGGGTGCGGTCAAGGGATGGCTCCCTATTGCTCAACCACGTTATGTATGCTGATGATTTGGTAATAGCTGCTCATTCAGAGGAGGAGTTGGAGACGCTGCTGCTGAGACTGGAGCGTGCCACTAAGAGGTGGGGCCTTACCATCAGCCCCACCAAAACTAAGTACCTGCCTGGGTATTTTGTACCATCGGACACTCCACCCCCACAACTCCCAATCGGTGATGGGGCAGTTGTGGAGAGAGTGGAGAGTTTCCCATACCTGGGCAGTGTGCTTATGACCGGCTCCAGGTTAACAGCAGAGGTCTCACTCCGAATCAGTTGAGCGGCAATATCTTTTCATCGGTTGCGTAACGCTGTGTGGAAGCTACCTGGTCTGTCGCTCCGCACTAAGCTTCAGGTCTTCTCGGCCACGGTCATTCCCTCCCTTCTCTACGCTTGCGAAACGTGGACCCCCCTCATGGAACATCTTCGCCGGTTAGAAACATTTAGGCTGGCCTGTCTACGATCCATCCTGGGTTTAACCAGACTGGATTCTGTGAGGAGCTCACAAATCCTTGAAAGATCTGGGCAAGGTCCCATCGGTGAGCTCCTCCGGCGGGCAAAGCTGCGATGGCTGGGTCATGTAGCCCGCATGCCCAGCCACCGCATGCCGAAACAGCTTTTGTTCGGCCGGATTGAGGGGGCTAAGCGGGTGCGGCACGGGCTAGAGAAGAGATGGAGTGATGTGGTACAGGAGGACGTGGAGCTGAGTGGACTTGCCGATGACTGGTACCAGCGGTGTCAAGATCGGCCTCTGTGGAGGAGGCTCGTGAAGGACGCTACTGGGCAGTTGAAGGTAGTCGCCCTCCAACAACAACGGAGGGCGGAGGAGCAACGCTCACAACAACGAGCGGAGCGCCGGGTGGCCAAAGCACAGCAGGTTGGCACAGTAGGGGGCACAGGTTGTGCATCAGCCAGTCATCTCAGTCAGTCGACCCGTGGCACCTGGGTCTGCCCCGTGACCTCCTGCCAGCGGGCGTTCGACGCTTCACGTGGCCTCAGGGTGCACATAGCCTGGCACAAGCGTCGTGGTGACGTCACCGCCACTTAGTGGCGAATGGCGGTTGTTGTTGTGTGTGCCTCTGTGTGTGGCTCTCTGTGTGTGTGGCTCTGTGTGTGGCTGTGTGTGACCTGTGGCTCTGTGCGTGTGGCTCTGTGTGTGTGCGTGGCTCTGTGTGTGGCTCTCTGTGTGTGTGGCACTGTGTGTGGCTCTGTGTGTGACCTGTGGCTGTGTGTGTGTGGCTCTGTGTGTGTGTGGCTTTGTGTGTGTGGCTCTGTGTGTGTGTGGCTCTGTGTGTGACCTGTAGCTCTGTGTGTGACCTGTGGCTGTGTGTGTGTCCTGTGGCTCTGTGTGTGTGTGGCTCTGTGTGTGTGTGGCTCTGTGTGTGTGGATCTGTGTGTGTGTCTGTGTGTGTGTGTCTCTGTGTGTGTGTGGCTCTGTGTGTGGCTCTGTGTGTGACCTGTGGCTCTGTGTGTGTGTGGCTCTGTGTGTGACCTGTGGTTCTTTGTGTGTGTGTCTCTGTGTGTGTGTGTGTCTCTGTATGTGGCTCTGTGTGTGTGTGGCTCTGTGTGTGGCTCTGTGTGTGACCTGTGGCTCTGTGTGTGTGTGGCTCTGTGTGTGTGTGTGGCTCTGTGTGTGGCTCTGTGTGTGGATGTGTGTGTGTGTGGCTCTGTGTGTGACCTGTGGCTCTGTGTGTGTGTGGCTCTGTGTGTGGACGTGTGGCCCTGTGTGTAGCTCTCTCACGGCCAACATCAGTGACGATTATCTGAACCGGTCCTGGGCCTCCCCTAGGTCGACTCAGCCTCAAATGAGTACCTGGTGCAGTGTGTAAACTTCGCCACTGGGAAGACAAAGGCGATCGGGCGTGGTGCTGGCCACCCACCCCCTCGTGTACCGTTCCGGCCTTCATAGGTGCTCGCTAACGGCACTTGCCCCTACAGTCTGTTAAGGCTATACGGGGGATCTTTGTCTTTGTGTGCGTGTGTTCGTGTGGCTCTGTGCGTGTGTGTGGTTCTCTGTGTGCGTGTAGACGTGTGTGATGTGGACGTGTGGCTGTGCGTGTGTTTGTGACGTGTGGTCCTGTTCAATTCGGCGTTGGCCGTGGAGCGGCCAACGCCGGTGACGATTATCTGAACCGGTCATTGGGGCCTCCCCTAGGTCGACTCAGCCTCATGTGAGTGCCTGGCGCGGTGCGCAAACACCGCCACTGGGGGAGACAAAGGCGTTCGGGCGTGGCGATGACCACCTCCATTGTGGGCCACAGCGCCGGCCTTCGTGGGCTGCGAACTCGCTCAGCAGCACTTGCCCCCTACGGTCTGTTTCAAGGCTGCACGTGGCGGTGACGGGGCCATCCTTTTGTGTGTGTGTGTGTGCGAGCAGCCATGATGATGATGTACCGCTACAAGAGCACCCAGCCGCACACCGGGGAGGCCGTGGTGCTCGGATTCTCCAAGACGAGTCGCTACCTGTGCTGCTCACGTGGAGACAACGACACGGTGTCACTCACGCTCCAGGTAGGGGCTTCACCCGCACCGCCTAATGCGTTGTCGACTTCGCGTGGCACAAACACAAACACGCACGCGCACGCGCGCACGCACACACGCACGCACGTGCACGCACGCACACACGCACGCACGCACGCACACACGCACGCACACACACACGCACACACGCGCACACACGCACACACACGCACACAAACACGCACGCGCGCACACACACGCACGCACACACGCACGCACGCACACACACACGCGCACACACACGCACACACACGCGCACGCACACACGCACACACACGCACACACACACATGCACGCGCACACACACGCACACTCCGTTCTCTTTCTCACAGCAAAGCAACCGAGAGAACCTCTCCAGGATCTCCGTGGATCAGCCCACTTGGCACTTCGTGTTCTACCGCAAGGAAGAGCCGCTGACCCAGACCATGAGCTTCGAGTCGGCGGCCTTCCCCGGCTGGTTCATGAGCAGCCAGTCGAGCTCCAACGCAAGCCTGCGTATGGTGAACACCAGCGTGTTCACCGACAAGACGCGCTTCACCAAACAGCGGTGAGGTCGCGCACACCACCCACCCCCCTGAGCCCCCACCCCCTGTCCCCCCCCACCGCCCTGTCCCCCCCAACCCACTGACCCCCCCGCCCCCCTGTCCCACCCACCCCCCTGTCCCCCCAAACTTCTGCCCCCCCCCGTCCCCCACCCCCCACCACCCCCCCCCCCCCCCCACCACCACCACCCCCGCAGGTTTTAACATCGAGGCGACGCTGGACATCGCCGTCACCGATCCGCTGCTCGATGAAGGTGACCAAGGTGCCCGCCGTCTCTCACGAGACCCTTTGGTGGTGGTGGTGGTTGTGGTTGTTGTGGTGGTTGTGGTGGTGGTGGTTGTGGTGGTGGTGGTTGTGGTGGTGGTGGTGGTGGTTGTGCAGCAGCAACAATAATCAACAACTCCGTCTGCAATAGCTCTCATCCACCATGGGCACTGGGACGTGTTAAGGCATCGATTAATGACACTGTAACGCACATTTTAGCTTTGTACCTGGGCAGTGTTATTGTCTAATTGCTTATGCCTCAAAAGTACAGAAAGTGGCTATTATTATTCCCCACAAACTTTGCTTTTGTGACCAGGACAGTGATATTTTGAAATGTAGATATTTTCAATGAGAAAACGCGGCGTGAGTTTGTGTCATTCCTTCACGTAAAGTCATCGTCACAAAAGCGCACAGTTTGTGGGGTATATAATATCCACTTTCTATACTTTCTAGGCATAAGCGATCAATAAAAAATACCACTTACTACCCAGCCACACAAATCGTGTTACAGAGTGTCACTATCACCACCCACGTGCCACGCCGTCCCTAGAGCCTGCGATGAGCCCAGGGGGGTCGGCGGCCTGCGGCTCTTTGAAATATGGAATTATTTTACATTCTGAGGCCTCTTTTGCCAGAAACAAGATATAGGAATAGGTTTTACCCTTTTAACTAGCACAAAAGTACAGAAAGTGGCTATTATTATTCCCCACAAACTTTGCTTTTGTGACCAGGACAGTGATATGACACCTTTATTTTTGAGTTGTCCGTGTGTCCCGTGCGTGACGTCACTCCACATCGGCCAGCCCCCCTCATTAATGCTCAGGAACAGGTTACGTCCTCCACATGGACCCCCCCCCCTCATTAATAATCATGAGCGGGTAACGTCACTCCACATGTAGCACCCCCCCCCCCCCCCATTAATCATCATGAGCAGGTGACATAATTCCATATCGAACAGCCCCTCACATCAATAATCATGAAGAGGTGACGTCTTCCAAATGGACACTCCCCCCTTCATTAATATTAATTAGCGGGTGACGTCACTCCACATGGGGGGGGGGGTGGCGAGGCGCCTCCTCCACCCTCCTCGGCGTCAACTGACAACCCTCACTACAAAGGCAGAACCCTCACGTCACGTGATCTCTGTAACGCTGTTGTTGAGACATCAAAGTAACAAGCACGTCATGATGAACAAGGGATTATAACCTTTAAATGAAATAAGTCTGTGTCACCGCGCCCTTACAAATTGCACGCGAATTGATGCAATGAATATATCACGTCGCGCTCTGCTCTTGGCTTGCAAGTTTCAGATTTACTGAAATACACCCGTCCTTGGACGGGCAAAAGGCGAGTTAGTAAAGTTTTGTCACGTGAACAGAACATGCCAATTCGTTACTAGTACAGCACTAACCGGTGTCTTGGGAGAGCAAATCCACAGCATTCACACACCCCTCGTGTTGCATTGCCAGAAACGATAAAACCTATCCTTATTTTCCATAAATGACGATGTGTATTGTCAACGTAATGAATCAATGGGGGAATGATATGACACCGATCTACAGGAATCCCTCGAATTGGGGCTCACCCGAGCTTCACGTGGGCCGAGGTGCCCACGTGAAGCTGATGCGGCGCGTGGATCGCGATGGGTGGGTGACCTCACCCGTGACCTCGATCGTGAACGATCGCTCCCAGTAGGCGGAGCTACCGTTATAAAGATGGCACAAGTGAAAACGAGGAGAGCGTAGCGCAGTGAAACGGGGCTGTACTAACAGTTAGGACTACTGTAATCACAGTTTTATACAGATATGAATGGAAGGGATTAACCTTAACCCTCGGTGGTTATTTGTTGTGCCATTTTTACCGTGCCAATTTATGGTGCCAATGTTTACCTGTGCCACTGTTACGATGCCAATTTTTACCTGTGCCATTTTTACCGGTGCTAATTTTACTTGTGCCATTTTTACCTGTGCCGTTTTTACCTATGCCATTTTCACCGGTACCATTTTTACCCGTGCCAATTTTTACCTGTGCCGTTTTTACTTATGCCATTTTCACCGGTACCATTTTTACCTGTGCCAATTTTTACCTGTGCCGTTTTTACCGGTGCCATTTTTTTCCTGTGCCAATTTTTACCTGTGCCATTTATACCGTGCCAATTTTTACCTGTGCCGTTTTTACCTATGCCATTTTCACCGGTACCATTTTTACCGTGCCAATTTTTACCTGCGCCGTTTTTACCTGTGCCATTTTCACCGGTACCATTTTTAACTGTGCCAATTTTTACCTGTGCCAATTTTTACCTGTGCCGTTTTTACCTATGCCATTTTCACCGGTACCATTTTTACCTGTGCCAATTTTTACCTGTGCCATTTTTACCGTGCCAATTTTTACCTGTGCCGTTTTTACCTATGCCATTTTCACCGGTACCTTTTTTACCTGTGCCAATTATACCGTGCCAATTTTTACCTGTGCCGTTTTTACCTATGCCATTTTCACCGGTACCATTTTTACCGTGCCAATTTTTACCTGCGCCGTTTTTACCTGTGCCATTTTCACCGGTACCATTTTTAACTGTGCCAATTTTTACCTGTGCCAATTTTTACCTGTGCCGTTTTTACCTATGCCATTTTCACCGGTACCATTTTTACCTGTGCCAATTTTTACCTGTGCCATTTTTACCGTGCCAATTTTTACCTGTGCCGTTTTTACCTATGCCATTTTCACCGGTACCATTTTTACCTGTGCCAATTTTTACCTGTGCCGTTTTTTACTGTGCCAATTTTTACCTGCGCCGTTTTTACCTATGCTATTTTCACCGGTACCATTTTTAACTGTGCCAATTTTTACCTGTGCCAATTTTTACCTCTGCCGTTTTTACCGGTGCCATTTTTACCTGTGCTAATTTTTACCTGTGACATTTTTACCAGTAACATTTTTTCCAGTGTTATTTTACCTGTGCCATTTTTAGTATGCCAATTTTTTACCTGTGCCATTTTTACCGTGCCAATTTTTACCTATTCCATTTTTACCAGTACCATTTTTACCTATGACATTTTTATCCGTGCCAATTTTTTACCGGTACCATTTTTACCTGTGCCTTTTTACCGGCCACTCATGGAGCTGCTTATCAGCAAACACCAGGCTCATTTTTACGTTCAATATAGATGCTTATTGCTGGAGTTTTTAGGAGGCTTTTTCGAAGCCATTTTTCCCTTCGTATATCGGTAACCACATTGAAAAAGAAGCCCGGTATATAATCTGTTTTCTCTACATTCAACAACGTATGATGGAGAACCAACATGATTGTACACCCCTGTGTGTGTGTGTTCGATGGTTCGTGGGGAGAGGAATTGAAGCGGTTAGCGTGCTGTGCTACGAACCCGGTGACCCGAGCTCGATTATTTGAGTGTTAATGCACCGTATTGACCCTGGACCTGTCGCCTAACCCTGCCCAGCCAACCCGCTCCTGGTCCTGTATCACACACGGCCGTGCGCCGACCCTAACAGCTATTTCCACCTCGAGCTCCACTGCTGGCTAGGAGTTGACTTAGCCCTTCGCACCTCCGGGTCCATAAGATCAGTACTGCTCTGTTGGAAAGTCGAATGTATGTTGAACCTTCTTTCGCACCGTACGTAGCCAACCGCGCTATGTAGGCTCTCGCACCCAGCCCAAGGAATGTTCAGTGTCCGTCACTGGCGCCACAGGGCTCTAAACAGATGGGAGGAGCACCAAGTGCCTCGACTCTCATCTGAAAGTCACCGACTCGACCTTGACCGACCGCCGTCTGGCATATTGATCACACATTGATCACATACTGATCACACACCTGTCACACATTGCTCACACATTGATCACACACCTGACACGCATTGATCACACATTGATCGCACGCCTGTCACACATTGATCGCACATTGATCACATATGTGTCACACTGATCACACATTGATCACACACCTGCCACACATTGTGCACACATTGATCACACATTGATCACACACCTGACACACATTGATCACACGTCACACATTGATCACACATTTATCGCACGCCTGTCACACATTGATCGCACATTGATCACACATTGATCACACGCCTGACACGCATTGATCACACATTGGTCACACATTGATCACACATTGATCACACATTGATCACACACATTGATCACACATGTCACACATTGATCACACATTGATCACACATTGATCACACACCTGACACACATTGAGCACACATATGTCACACATTGATCACACATTGATCGCACGCCTGTCACACATTGATCGCACATTGATCACATATTGATCACACACCTGTCACACATTGCGCACACATTGATCACACATTGATCACACACCTGTCACGCATTGATCACACACATGTCACACATTGATCACATATTGATCACACATTGATCACACATTGATCACACACCTGTCACGCATTGATCACACACATTGATCACACATTGATCACATATTGATCACACTAATACCACCACCACCACCACGTGTCCCACCGCGTGTATTTGACCACGCCGCGTCACCACAAGACAAGGGAGGGGAGGGGGGGGCGGGGCTGGCGGGCGGGCGCACCGCCCCGAACGCGCGTCACAAACACGGCCCCCTCCCCTCGTTTACGCCCCACTCCGACGTCGACACCGAAGGAACGAACCTCAAATGACCACGCGCCACCTCGTACATTCAAACACTCGGCTCCCGGAGCGTGGCGGGCCCAGTGGGAAGAGTCGGCCCGGGTTCCGTTTCCTCGCCAATGTTTCGGCTGAGAGCGGGAAATGGTCGCAGGTAGGCAGCCGTCGGAACCTGAACGCCAATTTTTTGTGTTACTGTTGACTAAACTATTTGTTTTATTTTACCGAGTAAAGCCCCACCCAAGCAATACTATAGCTCGTTTTGTTTTTTCGTTCAAAAGCGACCTAACCTGGCTTTTACAAACGATCGCTCAACGAAGTGGGCTCGTCGTCATCATCATCACCACGTGGACATTTATAGCAGCAGGCAAAAGCTCTGAATGCGTGGATGTCGATTCTGAATGCGGAGGCGGAAAAAATAAAACGGAGGACCCGTAGAGAAATCCACGCGGCCACGGGGAGAGGGAGAGAGAGACACCGCAAACTTCAAATATACAGCGGCAGCAGGCGTCAGGGGCGGAGCCAGGATTTTCAGCCCGGGGTGACATTCAACAAATGCTAATTTCAAGAATGATTTAGAGAGTCAGGCTGTTGAACTTAGACGCCATCGGTTGGCGGACACGCTCTGACAGTGCAGTTGCACGGAGTCCACCAGACCGAGTGTCGTACACTTACACGCAGAATGTTTCAGATTTTCGATTTTTTATTTTTTTGTTCGGGGGTGATTTTTTTTTGTCTAACCCTGTCACCCCCCCCTGGCTCCGCCCCTGGCAGGCATCGTCAGGGTCGCGATCGAACACACGACCTCCTGTGTACCAGGCGAGGCAGTCAACATCTCCTAGCCACCGTGGCGCCCAGCGCTCTGTGGGGGTCCGCGCATGCCAAGCGACAACAATCCACAAAGCTCCCCATCGGCATTCAATTTGGTTCTGCAAACTCAATTTTGGATCTGGGGTCCCCACCTCCCCCCCCCCCCATCTCTGACAAAGTGAACAAAAAAATCCGCAACGGATCTGACAGCAAATAGAAACATCTAGACGGAAGGCAGGGGAGGGGAGGTGACCTCCACTAACCCCCGACGGGAAAAACGCCACGCCTACTCTTTCCCATATATAGTCAGATACACGCCCCTACATGCAACACCACGCCCACTTTATTCCCATATTTGGGCGGGAGAGACACCCCTCCAGGCACCGCTACGCACAACTTTCTCCGATATGGGGGCAGATTCACGCCCCTACAAGCAGCACCACGCCCAACTTTCTCCCATATATGGGCAGATATACGCCCCTACAGGTAACACCACGCCCAACTTTCTCCGATATGGGGGCAGATTCACGCCCCTACAAGCAGCACCACGCCCAACTTTCTCCCATATATGGGCAGATACACGCCCCTACAGGGAACACCACGC